ATCAATGTTTCCGTGTGAATTTCCAAGAATCTTGCCTGGCTCGAACCTCTAGCCATGGAGCTTATGAATTTACCATTCCTTCTATAAATAGGTGGGGATTCTTTCCATTCCAGCTAGCTCCTCATGAGCGAGGTGCTTGTACGGAGACTGGCTGTTACCTGACTGTACAAGCCAGAAATATAGCCTACACTTTCTTAGAGATTGTTGAAAAAGAAATAACTTAGCCACTTTTGAAAATTACCTTGTTTGTGGAGTGTGACATTTAACAAAGTTCCATAAACTCTTAGACTGCCATGGCTAATGAATAAAGATGAAGTGTTTTATTTATAACTCTTTCATCAATAGTCCATTATGTCAAGGTGCCCCTCTTTTCTGGGTGAACCTCCTGGCAGATAAGGGTGGAGTGGAGCGGAGTGGAGTAGTGGAGAGGAGCGGATTAGACAGGAGAGGGGTGGAGTGGAGCGGAGTGGAATAGACAGTAGAGTGAGTGAGTATGGTTTTACGCCACTTTTTAGCAATATTCCAGCAATATCCAGCGGAGGACACCAGAAATGGGCTTCACATATTGTACCCATGTTGGGGAATCGAACCCGTGGCCTTCGTCGTGACGAGCGCACGCTTTAACCACTAGGCTACCCCACCGCCCCAATAGAAAGTAGAAGGGTGGGGTAGAATGGACAGGAGAGGGGTGGAGTGGAGTTCTGTGCTTTGCATGTGAGTATCGGTTGGTGAATGTTCTTGAGTCATGCTAGTTTGGTGAGTATTACTGATAATATCGGGTCACTTACATTGCACTAGCCTCCCTATACTTAGTGCAAGCTCAAAGAGCCACCATAATTACCCTGGTCATTGCATCAGTGGGCACTCAAATTTCATTCTCAGCTTCTTGGGGAATATACTACTCAAGCAGCCTAAGAGTCACAGTACCATCTCATCCTACTGGGTACCCACTTATTACTAATTTGTGAACAGAGGCATATCCCAAAGCCGCTTGCTTAAAGTTAAGGTTACACCACAGGGCAGGACAAAATCCTCAGAAACTGAGAGAAATACTCGCAAACATGGTCATCTATCCAACAATCACACTCTGAGGTCAACGTTGCTTAAACACCACTTGATTTGTGACCTGTGCACATGACCACATGCTATCATGTATGGGTGGGTTGGGGAGTATGTATCACTGGCTACATGGGCTTACCTAGCAGACCTGCTACAAGTGTGCAAAATTTATGCTGGTCCTGTGATCCCTGGCATGTAAAAATTCATCAGGACCACTAAATGATAAATTTGCAGTGGCTCTGGTGGCCAGTGAATTTTGTATTGATAGTTAAGTAAATCTACGAATGTTATCTTGGACCAGTGAAGCACAGAGGGGACGACTAATTATTGTCCACTCACTGGTCCTGTGGTCTAGTGGGAAATTTTAAATGGTTTCTTTCCCTGTGCGGAACCTACAACCTGGTGGCATACATGCCATGATCAACCTGTAGCACTATGATCCCTGACAAAAGTTTGTGCAGCCATGTCAGACTGTCACATTTACATTAAATCAGTTACAGAAAGCAAGAGGATGTTAATGGATATCAACAAAAGTTACGTAGGAATCCTGGGCCCAGTTTCACAAAGCTCTCTGTAAGCCTAAGATCTCGTAACTTTTCTCGTAGCATTCGTACCTCCCATACTGTAACATAGGAGGTACGGCGCTCACGAGAAAAGTAACGAGATCTTAGGCTTACGAGAGCTTTGTGAAACGGGCCCCTGGACATTAGTTCTTTAAAATACACCTAATAATAATCTAGGTATATGACCCATTTCATTCGACACATCTTTACCAGTTGGACCTCACTTGAGTTCTTCAAAAAATATCCATGTTACTTGTACAGAAATTGTATACCTTTATGAAAACATTTAAATCAAACCCACCTTACTTGTTATCAATATCTTGACCGAAAGTTAATCAGATAATAATAACAACAATATTGTCAGAAACATGGAATAACTCGGTGCGCCAAGTGTCTGCAAGAGTTGTATACTCCCCAGGGAGTTGAGACTGATAATACGAGGTGCCGTTGAGATTGTCATCCAGTGATCGAGGGGGAAAATATCAGCACCATGAGCATGTACCAGTTGTGGGGATATGTGCGCCATATAAATATCCAATAATCATAAAAATGTTTATAAATGTATGAATATTGAAATTATTTATCTAGAGTTGGAGCCAAATGGTCCTAAAATACTCCAACTTTCAGTTATTAAGGAACAAATATTACTGTCGCCAGCTACAAGGAGGGGAATTTGCCAATAACAACTACTAATCAGAACATGGATAACGTATAGCAATACTCCGCCAAATGTTGAACTTCAGCTGAACCTTGGATAGCTTTAACTGTAACAAGCTCTCTGAATTCCCTGATTCCATGAGGTGAAACAGAAAGTCATAGAAAGACATATCTGCAGCATTTGCATCAAGACATTAAAAAATGGGTACATTTGAACATTATGGTCATGGCAAAAGACTACTATATTTTCATGCTCAAATTGGACAAAAATGTATATAAGCCTGAGGCCTGATGCACTCTGTCATATCAGGAGAGAAATTCAAATTTAGAAGTGAGACATTTAATCATTTCCCATAATCTTCAGAAAAGGTTGCTGGGTGACAGAGAAATTTCAATGCATATCGTGACAAGAAAACCAATTATTCCATTTCCACATAATTCCTGTCCTTAAACCATTTTCTATCTTTGCATTACTTTTTATCATAGACATAATTCTTGACAGGGACACAATCCATATTGGAATCAAATTTATTCGACACACTCTCATATCATGTACGTAAGTTGGCTGGCATATGGAACCTTGTATTACAGCTGGTTACTGTTCTGCATATTCATGTTGGACTTAAATCAGGATGTTTTTAATGTCAGGGATTTACAGGACGCAAATTCCTGCGTCCTATACGCATAAAAATTGACAATGGACACAACCAAATTTATTAGCCCGTCCACAGGGACTCAGAAAAGGCCCAAATACCTTTTTGTAAAAATTCCAATCAAGTGACAATAAGTTATCACTGAGTTTGCTACTAGCTGGGTTATGCTATTATTTGCAATTTAATTACTGTAACAATGTGATGATCATGATACACAATACAATAACAGTATTAATAGTGATACTTTGTGTCTGGGACCCCCATTTTGTTGTCCAGGACCCCTGAAAATTAAGAGTATGAGTCCCAGGGACCCTCAAATACAGGACTCCATGTAAATCCCTGTAATGTTCTTACATTTTTACATTCACAGTTATTCTAACAGCACATTAAGTAAAGTAGTATCAATTTTGTCACATTTGAAAATATATACTGTCTTCAGTTCAAATTAATCAGAACTTTTATTCCATCGTAAGATCCAGATACAAACATATCCAGTTGAGCCAATAAAAGTCCACAATAGTTGGAATCTCTCAATTACAGCAGATGAAAATGATTTAATGGTTGTTTTTTATGTGAATAAATGAATGAATGAATGAATCAATTTTAGACCCCCAGAATGGTGGATACGTCCCTGACAGTAATCATATCCTTGTGTCATGCTTGGTTGTGTTTGTTTGCCAAAGTGACACATGTCTATCTGTCAGCAAGGTGGAAATTGAGTGTCATTGATTTCAGAATATACTTGTATACATTACAACACAACATCCAACAGCTGTGTGATTTCCGGGACTATATGCAACATATTGGTAGATGTACACTGTAGTCTGGCTTTGAAGAATACTGTCCAGAAAAATTGCTTCAAATCTAGTCAAATAATGTGGTAATTAGAACAAACTTGACATTTGTGTACAAGAATCTTTTTTGAAATCATTCAATTTACTGCTGAAATAGAGAAGTATTGTTTTCTCTTGACAAAGCACTTCACACCACTAAATCTTGCAGCAGTACTACACTGTGACATACCTGTTCACAAATGAGAAAAATATAAATAAACTTGATCAAATGATAAATGGAACTATGAAAATAATGTAATCATAACTTTCCTTTGCATATATCTGGATATAGAGTGAGTTAAAATTTATTGTCACATCAGCAATATTTGATATCTGGATATAGAAAGATTTCAAATGACTGCATAGAAAATGAGTGGTCCAAATTCAAAATGTATTGTGTTGTCTTGCATTTTGTTGTTAATGTGGCAATCCAACATTTTCAGCAGTATCATGTCAGCCTGCAAATAATCAAATCTGGACGAGGCAAAACAGTGTCTGATAGCATGAGTGTGGACATCCTTAGGGCACGATGACCTATCACAAAGCCAATAATTCTAACTGGAATTTTAGATAGCTTTAATCATAAATATGAGACTATAGGGATCTATTCTATATCAAAATCATCACAGGGTGTTCAGAGTTGGTAGCAAGGTACATATATAAAAATTGGCTCTCCTTCAGTTGAGCATAGTTTCCAGCTGTTTGTACTGACACATATTCAACCAGTCAGTATGAAACTCAAACATAAAAACTTGAACAGGTACATCTGTTTGGGCTGGAAGGCAGAAATTGATTTCCGATATCCATTAACACGGAAGAAAAACATCTGGCCTGCAGACAGTGTTGATAACAAGTCAGAAAATGGAATCAGTTGTGTGAGTATACTTTTGCATTAACAATGGAAGCTGTTGAAAATTTGCCGGTGTAAGAAAATTATTTGGTAGTTTTAATCAAATTATAAAGGGGGACACCAGAAATGGGCTTAACATAAGGCTCACATTTGCCGATGCCACAGATCACATGTATTAGTTTGAGGTTAGTGCTGATGTTAAACTCTGGCATTGCTTAATGCTAGTTCCATGTTGACATCCAAGACTAGTTCAATGCTCAAGTTGCTGCTGACATCCAACACTAGTCTAATGACGGCACTGCTGACGACATCAGGGGCTAGTCTAATGACGGTTCTGTGGCTTAATACATTGCATGTGATTGTACACAGATAGGGTATCACTTACCTGTAATAGCGAGACTGGAGGTATGTTGAGCACACAGCCTTCGAGACATGGCTTGCTGAACCAAAGTCAATGACCTTGACCCTATAAGGGAATCGCACAGGGTCCACCAACATGATATTCTCTGGCTTGAGGTCGGCATGGATCAAGCCAAGTAGTTTAAGCTTGAGTAATGCAGTCAGCACCTGGGATGTGATTGGACGGATATACTTTAATGGCAATGGCTGAAACTTGTTCTGTTTGAGGAAGTCATAGAGGTTCTGTTCCAGCATTTCAAACACCAGACATGTGTGGTTCTTGTGCTGGAAGCACTCGTACGCTCGTACAAAATTAAACTCATCTGCACTTTCTTGACTTAGCCGCGACAAGATGCTAACTTCAATTTGACCCTGCCGTGCATAGGAGGGGTGGTTCTTCAAAATCTTGATTGCCACGATCTCATTGGTCCCTTTTTTCCAGCATTTGACAACCTGCCCAAAGGTCCCCCGGCCAAGAAACTCAAGGACCTCATAGGCGGTTGTCATAGAATAGAGGACCTCATGCTGAACAAGTTGATAGTCCCCCTCACTCCCCGAAGAACTCGTGTTCTTCGAGGTCGTGGTGGTTGCCGTATTTGCTGCTGTCTTGGCCGTGGTCTTTGTCGAACTGTCATCCTCACTTGATACAGCGTGTACTTCGGTTAACTGCATGGGGACGCCTACTTCATCACTTTTACGTTTAACGCCACATCTTGGAAACGAGGGATCCACGACTCGGATGGTTGAGGTTCGGATATAATTTTGTGGCATGCTACTACTACTACTACCTTGTGTAATGTTTGAGAGCTCCAGGCCATGTTGTGGTAGCACATACGCAGTAGAGTGGCGTGTGTTCGCTGTGCTCGGAATATTTCTTTGTCTCGGGGTGGACCCAGAGGAACCACTTACATGGTCGTCGTCCAACACAACCTCCAACTTTATCTTCTTACAATTGTTGAATGCACTCAGTGTTGTCTTGTAGTTTCCGAGGTCCTCTTGCATCAGTGCTTACAAAAATCTGAAATGGACCAAATGATGCACATAAGTAAACAGTCACATATTCACATATATATCTATAGATTGTATAATAGTTATATTCATCAAAAGGAACTACATTATTGGGTTTGGGTCAGTGAGTGAGTTGCAAATCTCCCAAAATTTACCTCTTTGTTGAAACCTACAGAGGCTGACAAACCATGACACATAATGAAGGCGAAATGGGATTAAAGAGCATGGTTACACTTCCAATGGGCTAGAAGTTTATATGGAACCTTACATTTTAAAAGAAAACTGAGTTTTCAATATCAGAGGTACAGATAATCTGCGTATCTGCGTAAATTACGCAAATATTTATATGAAAACTCAATTCCTATTAAGTCTATTGTGTACAAGTACACTTGCAGTTTTGTAAATACTCAATAAATGTGATCTTACATGAGGACACACAAAAATGTCAAATCGTTGCTTGCGTACCTATGATGGATAGATAAAAACTGAAGTATATTGAGAGGTTCTATTTCAGGACGTGAACTTGACAACTTGCAATCTTTCTTATTGTTTCCCATATTACAGATCAAATGTAAATCACAAACACTAACGTTTAAACTTTATTATATTTTTAAAATTAATGGAAAATGGCAAATTACCCAATTGAGTTTGAGTGAGGTGAGTACAATTTATTTCGTTACTCAAAGGAAAATTAGGATACCCAATTGAGATGAACACAAGGGAGTACATAACTCAATGACCCAAAAAGTTATCTGTAGCTCTGAATATTCTCCCTGCTAATAAGTCTCACTAACTTAGAAGCATAAAATAGTACTGTGTGGCTAGTTGGGTTGCAATGACCTTGATTATAATGACACGTATCTTGCCAGTATGGTGCTAGTTTGATACAATAAACTTCATAATGACACTTGTCAAATTTAAGAGTTGTGTTTTTCTGAAAGGAAATTAGGGGAACCATTGTTTGCTTGTAAGTTGTTCAACACTCCACTTATTCTAGCCACATGAGGTCTGTAAATAGTCAAATCAGAACCAGACAAAATACATAATATAACAGCATCTATCAACAAAACAATGATACAATGAAAATCTCAGGTACTTTACTTAAACTGGTGTTTTGTCTCCATTTATGTAAACCTATCATATCAATGGCCATATTTCAGTTCATAGCTCTGTAAAACGTTTCATGACAGGAACAGGCAGACAAATTGGCACTAGCTCACTTGCCAAAGCCAATATTGTAAAATATAAAGTCATCGTTGAATTTTGAACATTTTGGGGTTATTTCTATGTCTTCTCACTGTTTAGGATAGCGCACTTTCAAGCTTAATATTTATGTCTTCGTGAAATAGTTTGTACCCTATTTGTACACATACTTTTGCTTGACAAAGTAACCTACAATCTCCTCCAATGAGCATGTGCTATATACACATTTGCTTACATTACAGGTTACAATTGACGGAAAGGCACTCAAACATAGCCTTGTCAGATACACGATTTGCAAATGTCTGTGTTTACTCTGTAAATATGTCAGTGATTTTATGAAGACTTTGAAAACAGCCTGTCTACCGTATTGGCACTGAACAATATTTAAATAAGATACAAAACTGCAAAACAATCCACACATTTTATGTCAGTTGTTTTTGCCTGTGTCTTGAACTATAATCTCTAGCAATGGAGAAAGTAAGGGGGTTAGAAGGTGGGGAGAAGAGAAGAGCCATGTCTGTAGGTCTACTAATGATAATGAATTTATATAGCACCTGCTTCCAAAAGGATTTGCTGAACTGCTCAGAAGAAAGTCTAAACAGTCTATGAGGGATATTGTAAACAGAACAGACTACCTATTCTTTTTGTCTTCAGTCAATTACTGTCGTGTGACAAGTGTCTGCCATCAACTATGCTCTCTGTAAGCAGATTTCATGACACTTTCCACTTTCTTTAAAGGGAGTATAACACTTCATTACATGATGTGGAAGCCAAGGGGTAGTGGTATAAACCACATGAGGGTGTGTGCTGGATGACCACCACACATAGAGCTCAAGATGGACATGTATACAGCTAAACATAAATGGGAAGCAAAGCTATGGTTTTGTTTGTTACATCAAACCAACAAGCAAACACATGTAACTATACACTAACCAACCCAACAAACAGTGGATACTGACAGTGCAAAGGGATGCAACTCTGCATAGCAAGTTACACAACTTGGTTATCTGTAGCCCTACCACCAAAGGAATAATACTGTATTGCACAGGTGCTAGACAGCAGGTATAAGGACATGTCTCATTTGTTAGGAATTAGACCATGGAAAATTACCAATTATTAATTCATGAACTTCTTACAACACACACACACACAGAGGCTCAATTAGACATATAGAAAGTTGCTTAATTCAAGACTGAAAAACCTGTTTTTGTCCAACCTATTAGTCAGCTCAGAATTAGACAGAAAAGCTAAACTGGGATATGTTGATCTGCCATAAGGAACATACTTGCACTACTACTTGACAAATATTCGCTTCCTTCTCACGATGAAGGATATTAGCCCTTCAGAGTGTCATATATTCCATGTTATCTTGTAGTGGCAAAGTGCAAGTTTCAAATGTCCGCGACATGCTGATTGCATCTATCATGGTCTTTAAAGAAATTGAAAGAACCCGTTAAGCTTGTTTCATTTGATTCAGGGCACTCATATAAGGTATTAAGTTTTCAAACGACAAAAGTGAGCTACAAGCTAGATAAAACTGTGGTGTTAAGAATCTGTAAGTTATTTAACATTCAGAATCCAACCATGATATGCTAGCTTGGAGACAGATATACCTTAGTAAGACCAAATAAAATGAGCCTTGTTAGTTATACCAGTTTCTAGCAGTGCCTCAAGAGGTGTGAGCTTACCCAATTCGCCCAATTAAATGTCACACTATAAATACACATAGTTACATCCATACAAGTTCACTCAACAACAGAACAGCATCAAAGAAATCTTTAAAAACCATTCCTTTCTAAATTACACTTTCCAACAGAAACCCTTCCTCAGTTTTAAACACAGACCAAATCACTAGATTCAAATCAGTTCCCAGGATGCATGGTGCCAAGGAAGGGGATTGAACCAGTATTGAGGTATCTTATTGAGATGGTGGCTATTTATACTCAATACTCGTGCCGAGAGCTGCAGCGACAGCAACAACATATAAGTCATAGGGTAATTCGCTGCAGAGTGAGTCACGGCATCAGCCTAGCAACATCGGCATTGGCTCATTATCAGATGATGCTGAAAGACGTGAATGTGGCAAAAAAGACTTGCAAGTGAATTCAGTGAGCAGAATCTCCCAGAAAACAATGTCAGGCACAGAATGAGAGCAGCAGTTGTGAGGACACCAGGTACTTCCTTCATCAAGCCCAGTTCCTGTACTCGAGACTCCATCCTCACTTACCTCAATAAAGCACTGAAATCCGGTACAATATTTTTTTCAAATTTAAAATCCTGCAGGATCAATATTCATTTGGAAATGTTGAAGTGTGGAACATTAATTCTACAGAGCTTGGGCACAAACTGACGAAAATTTCCACCGAATAAATGAGTCAACTGGTCTAAACATATTACTATCACATTAGCCCATTATGACAATGTCACGCTGTCGGTTGAGTTAAATTTGGAGCCAGGAATTCACTGTCCATTCTTAATGTGTGTAAAAATGATGCAATTATGGAAATTTATGTCATTTACATATTAAACACAATATGGTACAATTCAGGTAAAGCTTTCAATTCTCTTGATTCAGGGACTGAATACTGAAGCTTCCGGGTTGATTTGTACTTCCCATGATTTCTCCACTACTTACTAGGCAACCAACCAGACCCAGGCCAGAGACTTCTTACTGATTTCTATCATGTCATGAGGAGGTGATTGAAAAAGGCTTCCCTTTACTGACGACAACCCGGTGAAACCCTGCTGACCAGGAAGGTACTACTTGCAGTGAAAACATATGGAGCAGTGAAAGCATACAAATAAGTAAATCTGTAACCTAATCCACTAGTCATAGGCCTCTGTTTAATAAAACTTCTTATTCCACATTAAGATCAAACTGTAAATGTTCATAATAAGACTAAACTCTACTGAAAATAATTATATATTCGAAGCCTGGGCTAGTAAACTCAAAAGGTCCGTAGCCAAAACCATTAGATTAGCAGTTTGGGGTCTAAATTTCCAGTTTTCAATTTTGTCTTTTGGCAAACTGATTCCAGTCACTGATAATCAGAATCAAATGTCCCATTATGAGAACATATTATCCACTTGACCACTGGATGTTGTGCCTCATTGGACCAATGGGATGAAGCTACAGACATTACATTCTTCTGCTCTCTGGACATATACTCTATCCATTACACCACTAGAGCAGCGAGTTTTTGACCACGTAATCGAACCAACATAATTCAGCTATCAGACTCTGTCCACTACACCATGACTCATTGGACAGGGGATCGAACCATCAAAAACATGCTCTTCATGCAGATGCTCTGTCTCCCAGAAGCCTGTCCTGTGACAAACTGTGCAAATACATACTTTCTTCCTACGTGACTTGTCACAAGAACCTGATTACATTACAAATCAGACAACACGCCACATCAACAGCCTGCTGTCAACAACTTCCTCATAATACTCCATAACAACAGCTGCATACTTGCATTGTACATCAACCATTTGACTCACAACATGGCAGAAATAGCTTATTCTGGTTATATCTCATAATAAGACTGCTTCTTGTCAAGTCTGTTCAACTGTATTTATTATCAAACTCTTATTGACCCCAAGCTGTTAAGTCAAATGGTATGCATTCAAACTAATTGTTATCTTGTTTCGTAAATTACGATTTTATTATTTGTTTCGTTTGCTTACCAATATTCCTGTCATATGATGCAGCCTGTTAATGAAGTCTAGACGAAACAATCCAGTGATCAACATTCCATCATGTCAGGGTATGATGACACAATCAACCAAGCCAGCATGCCAGAC